CGAGGGGCTCAGGACGCTCCCATCCCTCCCCCTCGGGTCCCTGGAAGATAGAATTTTGGGCATCCGATTTGGGCCTGTGGGAAATGAACGAATGGACAGGGTGGCTGGTGGAAGAAAGGATGGTAGACGGTTGCCTTTGCTCTCACAACCCTGATGTTGGTTCTAGTCCACCGTGTGCAGGGGCCGCGGGGCCTGGGAGGCCTCTGCCATCTGTGGGGCTGGGCCGCCTTTCCGTGAACCGGTGGGAAGCAATGGGGACCAGATTACTCACTGACACTTTTGGTCCCTGAATTGTTCTCTTGCTCAGCTCCTTGGCCAGTCAGATGGGTGTGCCCCTCCCTGTGTCACTTCTCTTAAAAATGCATGGCTCATTAGTTGAGCAGCAACCTATGAACCAGGAGGTCACTGCTCGATTCCTGGTTGAGGGGCTCAATCCCCAGTGTGAGGCGTGCAAGAAGTAGCCAATCCATGATTCTCTCATCATTGGTGTTTCTCTCTCTCTCTCCCTCTCCCCTCCTCTCTGAAATCAATCCTATATAATAAAAGACTAATATGCAAATCAACCAAATGGCAGAATGACTGGTCGCTATGACGTGCACTGACCACTGGGGGGCAGACACTCAGTGCAGGAGCTCCCAGAAGCCATGGGGAGCGGGCCTAAGCCAGTAGTCGGACATCCCCTGAGGAGTCCCGGACTGAGAGAGGGTGCAGGCCGGGCTGAGGGACACCCCTCCCACCCCCAGTGCATGAATGTCGTGCACTGGGCCTCTAATAAAAATATATTTAAAAAATAATCTCTTTTCCCGGCTCCCTCAGGAAGCACTGGAGGCCCGGAGGCCGCAGTTCATCTCTCGCTCGCAAGAGCGGCTGAAGAAGCTGGAGCTCATGGCGCAGCAGAGGCGGGCCCAGCGCCAGGAGAGCCCGGGGCCGAAGCCGGGCCCCGTTCCAGTCCGCGCCAGCAGGAGGCAGTTCACCGTCCCCCATCCACTTAGTGGTGAGCTCGGTGGCTGGGGCAGGGGCACTGGGGGATCCTCGGCTGGAATTGGGGGGTCCCCCGCTGCCACCATGTCCACGGGACCGTGTTCGCGCCCAGGACCTGGGTATCACGGAGCCAGCCCTAGGAGCCGGCCCATTTTGGAGAGTCTATGGGGCACTGAATTTTCAGAGCTTCCTTGGGTCACAATTCACCATGAGAGCTGGGAAAGAAGCCACAGGACCTCGCCACCAGGGGAGCAAGTTCACATTCTCCGCTCCTGACAGACACTGCAGGAGGCCCCTCTGCCCTTGACAGACGTTAGGGTGCAGGGCGGACCCCCATTCATTGGCATCAGCATTCGTCATCTGGAAACTCCTCACCTGCAGAGCTCTGAGGGTGGAGGGCGGCGTCCAGGCGGAGAGGCCGGGGTCACGCTGACCCCACGGGGGGCCTGTCACTCAGAGGAGGGTCATCAGGAGCCTTCCCGGCCGGCGCCGGGCTGGGCGCTGGGCTGGCCCCTGAGCAGACGGGCCTCGGTCCTCTCTCCACGGAGCTGTGAACAGACTCCTACACCAGCAAGGACAGCAGGAGGCGAGGGCAGGAGGGGCCCCGGAGCTCATCCTGACGGCCACAGCTCGGATCTGAGAATCCAGAGGCCAGGGAGCCTCAGTTGTCCTAGGATTCCTGTGC